TTCTCCATCTGGGGAGTTCTTCAAAATAAGGTCTGTGCAAGACCCCATTCGAGTGTTGAGGCATTGAAGAAGAAATTGGTGGAGGAATGGGACAAATTGTCGGTGGAATACCTCCGTGCCACAGTCGACGCGTACCCAAGACGTCTTCGAGCTGTCATCGCCGCGAAAGGTGGCAGAATCGAATAATTTCTTCTGTTTTCTATTTTCATACATACGAATAAATATTCGCTTGAGTTAGATCGGATTTTGTTTTATACTTCTTGAGATACGCTCATTTTGAATGCGTTGCAATAATTAAAAGCCACCCTGTATGTGATCTCGAAGCTTTTCTACTTCTTATTTTCATCATTGCAGGATTCGATACGTCACGATCTTGCTCTTTTCATTTTCACCCTGAATCAAAGAATAGTGTTTCCCAATTGTGTTTCTCAGTTTTTATTAAAACAAAGTTATATATTCCTTCACAAAATCGACGAATTTCCTTCAATTCGGAAGAAATTCGATGAAACATTACCAAAAAACGGCATCGCTAAAATACCGTCGAAAAACTGCGCGGCGCCTTTGCGAAAAGGGGCGGATCGCTCCGCCCTCTTGTTTACTTGTTTGTTTGTGTGTTCACCGGTGCGATCTTTTTGAATTGACAATAGTATTCGTTTGTTTCATTTATATCCGCTCAGAAGAGCAAGCCACTACGGCTCCAAAATGAATCGGCTCCGTGCGGTCATCAAGTTCCGAAGAACTGTTTCACGCTCGCGGTTTGCCCGTCTCCCACTCATCGCGGATGGCATCTCTACCAATTTGATGGGAATTACGAGATACATACTGCAGAAATGATTCTGTATAGTATGGTCTCGATGAAAGCAACGCGGGCGCCGGACCTAACCACGCGCAGCAGCCGACATCTCCCGGGTTCCGCCGCCCGCTATACTTTGTGTGTGCTACGACTCCGCCCACTGGAGTGGGCGAAAGTGCAAGAAGTGATTCGTTCATTCGAATTTTATGCAGGAAATCAACTTATAGTTTGGTTTCGGTATATCAAGCGCGAATTGTTCATATTATTTTTGAGGATTCTAAACGAGTGAAAAATATGGGCCTTATTTTTTCAAGAATTTAAATAAAACTTTATTTACCAATTTAAAAAGTTAAAGTAGTAGTAAACAAAAGTTAACTTTTCCATCTTTGTTTTTGTGTTCGTTAATTTTTGCTAATTTGACCCTTGAATTGTTACTAGACATCGTTCATCTTCATGATCAAAAACAAGTTCTGCCGTTCATTTGGACTATCGTCTGAGAAAATTTCTTAGGATTCTAGGGATTTTAAAAGTTGTATTATTTTGGATTTTTTGTTCATTTGATCTATTACATTGAAATATCAGAATAAACATTGAAATATCAGAAAAACATGAAAATATGCAAATTTAAAATTTAACACCATTTAACTTTGTTTACTCCAGGTTTCGTCTCTATATTTCATTATGTTATCATGACAAATTTTTCGGAAACAACCTGTACACAACTGTTTGATAATGTGAAATAGTGCGGGTATCTGTTTTCCAAAAATTTTTCTCCTCGATTTCTCTTCTGCGTTTCCCCCTGTGCGCCTAGAGGCATTTCCGTCCATACTTCAAATGTGCTGTTCTGGCCGAGTGGTCTAACACAGGTCCTGGGCGATGATGCGCATAAAGGACCCGATCCATATGCGATCCTCTAGAAGTCCGTTTGACACATATCGCGAACAACGAGCTGCGATGAGTCTCATATGTGTGCGATGCGGGAGAGGCTGAATCGAGTGTTCCGAATGCGCGCGTATCCTAGATGGATTCTGGGTGGGTGGGCGATGTGTGCGATATGGGTCTGATACGGTAGGCCGACTACAACACTCCGAAATCCCGGATGCGCCCATTGTTTACCGTAAATCCACACCGGCAACTTTGCCAATTTTTCGTCAATTCGAGCCTACATTTCTGGTTTTTCGATTATTCCTTCGATGTTTTTTGTGAAAAAGAGTTATGGCAGAATAAAAAATCGCTGAATTCTTGCAGAAACGTGTCTTTCACTCGTTAATTGCTATGTTTTTCGCCAAAATAGGTGATATTTAGATTTTTTGATTTCACTTTGTAATTATTGTAAAAATCGTATTTTCAGGTGGAGTAAAAGGTAAGTTGGTAAGTATACAATAATTACAAAGTTTAAATTATAAAAATTTTCAATTTTTCATGCAATTTCAAAAAAGTGAAAGTGAGACATTTTTTGAACAAATGAAAAAAAAATTTTTAGCGAATTTTTTCCCATTTTCTTCTGTTTTTGATTGCATATCAAATTTAAATGGAAACTGCCATAAGTCTTTTTCAAAACCAAAACATTGAGTTTCGAAAAATCAGTGATATGTCGTTCAAAATATAAAAAAATATGGAATAATAAAGGAAAAGTACGAAATCGGAAGACCTGAACAAAATCACATCATAATAGAACTTAACTGATACTTCTAGGAACCCCCAACCAACGTTTTAGTTCATTTCATCGAGTGCCAGCAAACCAGGCGAGGAGATGCTTTGCGGCGGCGGTGTGCCCCATATGCCCCGTATATGCCCCATACCGGCGTCCTTTCCCTGTACCCAATTCATCGGCGCGTCCTCCGTCGCCCATCCATTATGCGTATGCGCGCCCAGGACCTGTGAAGGCGCTGCGTTCACCTGCAGGTCGCAGTCCTCTGCAGGGCGCAGGTTCAAATCCTGCGGACAGCAAACTTTTTTTAGGATTTTCATCAAAATCAGAAAAACCAGAAGATTTATTCAAAAAATATTTACAAAAATTGAGATTCGTTTAGTGAATGTTTGAAAAATCAAAAATTTTACTTCTTTCCAATCATCGCACCCATTGCAGCTCCCAACAATGCTCCTCGGAGCATTCCTCCAACTGGATTTGGACGATACCCATAGCCTCCATATCCACCATATGGTGATCCATAGCCTCCGTATCCATACGGCCTGTATCCATATCCACCACCGTATCCACCGTACATTGGTGGTGGGTATCCGCCATAACCGTATCCTCCATATGGCATACCTAGAACATTAAACTTTAAAGGGGGACTCCGACCAAAAATTTTTATTGCATTGAAAAAAGGCTGTCATGGGCCGTGGACTAGGTTTCTCACTGAAAATCCTCGTCCCCCGGCGGCACCTTTTTTTGAATTTTCTTCCTTTTCAACGCCGTTTTTCGGGGATTTCGGATTTTCTTTGAATTTTTTCGCAATAATATTTGAAAAATAGATAAATTTTAACACATTTTAATGCAATAAAAATTTCTGGTCGGAGTCCCCCTTTAAAAAAAATAATGAACACGGAAATGATGTACCTCCATAGAATTGAGCAGAAGTTGTTCCAAAGGCAAGCACGAATAATAAAGCTGGCAAGAAATTCATGATTCTGTAAAATGAGAATTCAAGAATATTTCACAGAAGCAAAAATAGATCAATTTATGTACGAGACTTTGAAGAAAATTACCAATTCGACGAATTCGGAAATCAAGGAAACAAGGTGGAGAGAACGAAAGAAAACGAAAGAAAACCGACTGAGATGATATTAGACGGAGGCAGAATGGTCAGAAAAGAAGACACGCCTCATTGAGTGACTTGTTGAGATGATGGAAGAAAAGATGACGGGTTATTCTAGAAAAAATGGATTATGACTGTAGAAGGAGAATGGAGACAGGAGAGGATTAGATCTATAGAATCGGGACGGTAGAACTGTTGCAATAAAACATTTATCAAGGGTTGGGATCAGGTATATCGGGAATGAGGTGACAGTAAGGGTGTTTGGTGAAAGACAAAAAATCAATTTCTGGAATAAAATAAAAAGAAAAAAAACTGATTTTTCTGTAAGGATGGTGTATAAAAGTTCAAACACAGTAAAGTTTGAGTGGATTTTTCTTATCTCCTATGCAAGATATCAAAAATGTGTCAATCAACTGACAAAACACTTCTAATATTATGACAAACAATTTATCAGTTGACAACTTTTCTATATCTTTAACAGGAGCTGAGATAAATGAGGGTTAAAAGGTAGAGGGCCTTACGTTGAGTGCTTACGGTGTGTGACAGGTATTACGGTAAGTGCCAAGCAAACAGAACCTTAAAAGTTCTAATTTGCATGCGAATTGATAGTTTTTCCAGTTTTTCAACAGATTTATTTTTTGAAAATTGTTGTCCAGAACGCATATTAAAGTCTTACAATCTTTCATAAAAATTTAAATTCAGGTTTTCCTGGAGCGATTGGAGCACTTCACGAAGTTTAATTGTATTCAAAAATCAATGATATCTTCAATTAGAAAGAAAAAATATTCCCCCAATAAAATTTTAGATGCCTAAACGTAATTCCTCTAATAGAAGACCACCTGTTAAAATAGTGGTGATATTATGACAAGCAACTTATCAGTTGACAAATTTTTGCTATCTTTCACAGAAATCGAGATCATTGAGTTCAAAGTTGACTGTTTGGGTAGGCTTCTATTAGAGAGGAGTTACAGTAACTCAGCCTTTCTGAAGAGATATGTGATTCTGCTTTATTTTTTCTCCCCCCCCCAAACCTTCCATGTATATAATTTCATCTCGGTTGCTATCTTGAATTTTCGAATTTTTGTTGCTAGCAACAGGTGAAAATTCGCAACTCACTTTTTTCCAACTACAAGCCCAAACTTCTCGAAAATTCAAAAATTTTTGATTTTTCACTGTTTGGATTTCTCCGGAAATCCAGTTCTAAGCTTGTATATCAAACCGGATAACTCTATAGTATATTATTTCTCAGTGGGTGTCTTCTTCTTTTGAATATGTAATTCGACCTTTTCATTACATTTACTCTTCCTTCTTCTTTCTTAAGAACCTCTTAACCTAATTTTCTTTATTTCATTTGCTCGGTTGCTCCGAATCGAAAAATAACAAGCTAGTCTAACAGTGATCATATTTTTGCTATCTGTGATTCGATTGCTGAATGTCTACCAATTTTTCTCTAGGCTTGCCCAGTTCTCACACCTTTCAACCGAAACCAAACAAATCATTTTTTGACCTTCAGAAAGTTCTAGAAAAATGACTCATGCGTTGTAATACCCTATTTTGATAGGTTTTCAGAAAAGAAGTTTTCAATCTTTTCAGCGAGAAAACGATTAGGAAAACATTCAAAAAACAGTGACGAATTCTCTAAATCGTTTTTAAAGGAGGCGAGACAGCAAAAATTTCGGGGGACAGTTTGGGGGAAGAAATCGCGCCGCGCTTATGTAGACCATCGGTCGTCAGGCGCCTTCGCGCCCCCCCGTAGCTCAGCCGGTAGCGGCGCTGTACCCCAGAGCTGCCTGTCATGAGTTCAACCCCTCATGGGGGTACTCTATGCAAATTATCAGGAAAACTTTTTTTTGGTGTCTGGCCTCCTTTAAAATTGTCTGACCAATTGACCTTCACAGTTTACACTCTTCTAGGTTTTAATTGAGTATTTGTCGTTCGAAGCGTGCCGAATAGCACGTGGACGTTTTGAATTACTGAAAAGAAAACATCATCGGGTTTTAATGCAGATTAAAAATGTAAAGTTTAAAGTCATGAATCAATTAGTCTTTGTTCTTATGTGAAATCAAAAGAGGACGATGTATACCGAATCACATGAGAGTTTGATAAATTCAAAATAGAACGGAAGTTGCGCGTCATAATGAGAGAACCATCCCATGTTTTGAGGTTTTCAGAAAAACTAAAAATTTTGGAGAAAAACCGCTAATGCCATTCAATTCAGCACCCCAAAAAACCTTTGGGTCTCCTGGATCAAGTGCCAGTCGCGTGTTTTAGGACTACAGTAACCAAAAGTCTCTCTGCACACCGCGTCATAATGATAGAACCACCCTGGAAAACGTAAAATCTCATGTTTATTTGAGAAACAAATTGAGATTTTTTGTTGGAACTCGTTAGAATAGTCATGAAAGAATCTATTTTGGCAGTCTGTACAAGAATTGATGTCTCTATTCAATTTTTAGAAAAAGTTGTTTTCAGACATTTCCGTAATTTTTTGGGTTTCCAGAATAAATCTTGAATAACTTTGCTCCCGGATAAAATTTTGAGCTGAAATTGATAAGAAATATTTGTTCAGTGGTCTGGAGTGTCTACTAGTTGTTTTCATGCTATTCTGAGTCGTCGTTTGTAAGTTAAGGAAAACCAAAATTTAGAAAACGAGCCTTGAATTTCGGTGGTTCTGATTTTCTTTTAAAAACTGAATTTGTCCAGTAAAAATTATTTTTCTGTACAAAATCATAACTTAGAAAACGATTTTGCTAACTTAGAACATCTTTTGGACGTTTTACACTTCTTTGAAAACATTTTATTTTTGGCATTTTTTCAGTTCAAAGCTCAATCTCAATTATGAGCTACCAGAGCTCATGAATGCCTTGAACAATTGCAGAATGACTAAAAGCTTTCACAAGATATTTACTATGAATTTCAGCTCAAAATTTTATCCAGGAGCAAAGTTATTCAAGATTTATTCTGGAAACCCAAAAAATGAAGGAAATGTCTGAAAATATTTTTATGTTTCATGACTATTTTAACGAGTTCCAACAAAAAATTCTCAATTTGTTTCTCAAATAAACATACGATTTTACGTTTTCCAGGGTGGTTCTATCATTATGACGCGGTGTTCAGAGAGACTTTTGGTTACTGTAGTCTTAAAACACGCCACTTGCACTTGATGCAGGAGACCCAAATGTTTTTTTGGGGTGCTGAATCGAATGGCATTAGCGGGTTTTCTCCAAAATTTTTAGTTTTTTCTGAAAACCTCAAAATATGGGGTGGTTCTATCATTATGACGCGCACCGTATATTCCATTTCTGTCTTCTTGTCACTAAATTGCGCGGGGAAACGGGAAGAAATGATGAAATGGGTGCACTTTGATTATTTTTTAAAAGTTTTATTGTTATGAAAAAAGTAACAGAATAAGACCCAAATTATCTTCCTCGTTTCATTTGGTGACACAAACTTCGGAACTATTTTAATATTCCTTTTCGGGAAATTCTGCTCGTCATAATTAAATTTTTACAGAGCATTTGACTAACAAGAGAACCTCAACACTTCGTAAACCCAGATTTAAAACAAAATCTCAGAATAGGTTGAAAACAGTCTATCTAGACACCTCTTAAAATTTTAGAATCCGGTCGCCAGTTTCCGCAGAGTTACCACAAACACTTGGCACCGCGTCACTTCGAAACCAGTCACTTCGAAACCGGTTCAAGACCGTGGTAATGCAGGTGAATGGATAAATTTCAAACTGTAAAAACAACTTTAGGATTTTCAAATACGCTATTTCTGGTAGAACAGACTCTGAAAATCAAGAATTTTAAGAATTTTTCGACTTTTGAGAACAACAAATTTTGGATTCTTCCTAATTTCAGAATGTGTTATACCAGAAAAAGCATATTTGAAAACCCTAAAGTTGTGTTTGTAGTCTGAAATTTATCCATTCGCCTGCATTGCCACTGTTTCGAAAAGACCGGTTTCGAAGTGACGCGGAGCCAAACACTCTAATAGAACGTCGCCCGATTCGTCAAATTGGAGCCCATGTATCTTATTTTCTGTGGGAGATATCAAAAAGTGGTTAACAATAAACATGTTGCTGATATCAAGATAAACATTTTATCAGTTGACAACTTTTTGATATCTTTCAAAAGAAGTAAGATATATAGGCTCAAAGTGGACGGTCCAGGTGGCGTTCTATTAGAGTGTTTACGGTATCAGTTTCAGTACTAAAAAACGCCGTTTTAGTGCGAAACAGCAATTTTAAAGATGATTTTCTTGACTTCTAGGATCCAGAACATGAATTTTGCTGTACTTTCATGTTTCAGTCAATTTCTCAAAAAAGGTTTTTTTTTGGAATTTTTCCACTATTTTCCAGATTCATTCCAAAATCAAAACAAAAAGTTTTTGAGAGAATGTCTGAAATATGAAATGTTTTCAATTTTAAGTATAACACAACAAATAATGTTCTGGAAACTCCTAGAAGTCGAGAAATTCGTCTTTGGAAATCGCTGTTTTGCACTGAAAGGGTTATTTTTGTTACCGAAACTGATGTAATTCTGCTGAAACGAGCGAGCGGATTCAAACATTTTGAGAGGTGTCTAAATAGGGTATTTTTTAACATGTCCTGAATGTTTCACCAAAATCTGGATTTACGAGGTGTTGATTGTCAGAGCAAATTCCTTACTTCGATTCGCACTCTCAACCTAATTGTTATTTTACATCTTGTTTAGATCAATGATTCATATGATCCGCAGACTTAGTCATTATAAAAGTAGCTTACTTCACCTGTTTCTGAGTCCTTGAAGACTTTCTTTAATTTTTGAAATTTCTTTGGCACTAAATCAAAACGACGTTGATGTGATGACGAATACGGAACTTTTCTCCAATTCTAAGAATAATCAAAAAGGAGTCTGTAACTCGTTTTCAGCTGTTCTTTCGGATCTTAATTAAATTTTTTGGCAAGGTTCGAAAACAAAAGTCTTCTAGATTTCGAAATACTCGTTTCTTCTTGCTGTAGATTAGAATGAACTCATTTTCAGTGGGTGATTAAGTTCGAATTTTCCACCCAACCGAATTTCTACTCTGGCTTCCAAACGTGTTATCTTGAATTTTCCATTTAACCAACATAAACACACAAAACCTGCTGAGGAGATCTTGTTGCGGGTTCCCCAGGCAACCAACACCCCTTATTTTGTTTTCCTCTGTAATGTCTATCTGTTGTTTTCCTATCGTTTTCCTCTTTACTCTTTCAAAATCCACTTTATTGGATGTGAGCGTTAGCTGCTCCGTTCAACTAGGCTATCCGATAACTGACTATTTTGATTTCATAACAAGTTTTAGAACAGAAAAATGAGAAGAAGAGGTGGGCGTATTTTGTTGTAATTGAGTGTCATGTTGTTCTTTTTCCATTCAACAACAATGCGATTCAGGTAGACAGCTTGTGTGGATTCGATTGCTTTAAAGTGAGCTATTGATTATACAGACAAGTTCCCATAGGATCATTCTAGAATACCGTAGAACTGGAAGGTCATTGAATATAAAGCCAAGATCTGAGTTGCTAATTTTTTTCAAAAGTAGCAGTAAATGGGTGATAATTTTTCAACCCGTTACAAGCTTTGGAAATTTGAATTGCATGCCTATCCAGTATCTAGTTTAGTCATAGGATTTGACAGGGTTCATTTCTGTTAAAATGTCGTGAGAAAACCTTAAAGAGTTGATCTTATTATTACAGTTGATGCTGTTTGCTCTCCCTTATTTTTTTTTACTTTTTGACTTTCAAAAAATATGTATCTTACCTCGAGACTCTTATGAGTAAAGATATAATTTTACTTCGTTTGTTGGTTCTTCTATGAAACGTTTTTTGTCTACTTGTATTTTTTCCGTTCCCATGTGTTGACAACCTCTAGGTGAAAAATTCGAAAGCGTCTTTTTCTCAAAAAAAAATCCTGAATTCTTTGGTAGTCTTTTTAACATCATTCCAATAGTGATTTCAAAATGTAACGAGCTCCCAACTGCAGTTCTCATCCACCAAAAACCAGATGCTATTCTTCTCAACACTCCAGAGACACGTAGCCTATCCATTTTCACTGCTTTTATTTACACAGATGATTCGCGAACAATCCGTTACGGACGCTCAGCGTTCGCGCGCGGTTGAAATAGGAACCGTATACGGACCGCACGCGACCCGTTTTCAGAAAACCACAGCACATTATTTCGTATTTCTCCGTAT